AGGAGCGCCAAGAGGGCAGTCTCAACTTAAAAATTCTTATAACTTTGGAATGGTTAGTTTTCACAACACCCAATCGAGAGGAGTTATAGACAATTTTACGCTCTACAAAAAACATGTGAAGGTCAAAGTTCTTCAGATCAACCGTTTCAAAGATATCAGCGATCAAAAATAACACTAATAAAAAATTTCAAATATTTTCAAATAATATTCAAAAAAATATCATATGCCATATTTATATTATTTTTTATGTAAAATCACTTTAATTCTGTTAACATGAGACTGTAAACTTTTTTTTTATTTATATATTTATATATATATTTATATAATATTATATATACAGGGTGTTTCATAATATATGCGCAGGACTTCAGGATGTGATAGCTCATCCAAAAAGATGAAAAAAGTCGCTATTAACTTACCCTCTAAAATGCACAATTTTCGAGATACAGGGTGTTGAAATTTTAGAAAAAAAATCGTTTTTTTCGATTATCTCTGGAACCGTTTGTCGTACAAAAAACAGCTTTTGTAAGCATTTTCTACTCATAATAAGCTATGTTTTGTGCCAGAAAAAATTTTTTTTTATTCATAATTGGTGGAGATTTTGAAGGGGTAGCGGGTGTTTTTCTCCTCAACTTCAACGCCCCTGAAAAAAGTACGGTTTTGAGAGGCCCATTCGAACCGCCAATATTTTCTACACAAAAAAGGTACTCTTGGTCATAAGCTCTAAAGTTGACCGTTTTCAAGAAAAATCAACTTTTATATTTAAAAACATGTTCAATTTAAAAAAAAAAAAATTTTATTACTAATTAAACAAAATTTATTTTAACGTTAGAAAAAGTAACAAAACCAAACGAAAATTGCAAAATTAAAAAAAAATAAAATATGATTTTTTACACAAATGCTGAAATGTTCGAAATGCGTTAGGTACCTTTACGGTTTGGAGAATTTAGCAAAGACAACTTTTGAATCCATTTTTTATTTTGCAATTATGGTTTGGTTTTGTTACTTATTCTAACGTTAAAATAAATTTTGTTTAATTAGTAAAAAAAAATATTTTTTTTTTAAATTGACCATGTTTTTAAACATAAAAGTTGATTTTTCTCTAAAACGGTCAACTTTAGAGCTTATGACCAAGAGTACCTTTTTTGTGTAGAAAACATTGGCAGAATAGGCCTCTCAAAACCGTACATTTTTCAGGGGCGTAGAAGTTGAGGAGAAAAACACCCGCTACCCCTTCAAAATCTCCACCAATTATGAGTAAAAAAATTTTTTTTTCTGGTACAAAATATAGCTTATTTTGAGTAGAAAATGCTTACAAAAGCTGTTTTTTGTACGATAAACGGTTCCGGAGATATTCGAAAAAAACGATTTTTTTTCTAAAATTTCAACACCCTGTATCTCGAAAATTGTGCATTTTAGAGGGTAAGTTAATAGCGACTTTTTTCATCTTTTTGGATGAGCTATCACATCCTGAAGTCCTGCGCATATATTATGAAACACCCTGTATATATATATATATATATATTTATATATATATATATATAATATTATATAAATATATAAATAAAAAAAAAGTTTTTATATATATATATATATATATATATATATATATATATATATTGGGGTGAGCCAAAAAAACTAACCTATCGGATTTATGGGTTAAAATGAACCTACATACCGAGCAAAAAATTTCCCTGCAAGGCAAAATTTTTTGCTCAATTTTAAAAGGTGTCGGTGAGCATTCTAAGTTTTCCATTGAAATAACACGTAAAAAAATCTTTTTTCATTAAAAAGACTATAACTTTTGAACCGTTTGAGATAAAAATTTTTACGTCGCGGATTCTTGTAGAGCATCAAATTTCCCAAAGAATCTATACCAGGATTATTTTTTTTAATTCAAAAATTCGTATGTTTGAAAGCTTTGAAAAGTGTAAAAAATCACTAAAACTGCAGTTTTTTTAGCTCCGTTGCCGCTAATCGTTATTTATATACCCTCCTGTTCTATGTTCGGCTCCATTGATCTCGTTAATCTGCGTATCGTCTCTTATGTTGAGGTTTCTTGGACGTTTTTCTATTTCAATGGCTTTACGGATGGTACGTTTGGTCCTGTGTTCGATGCTAGCCAAGACCCTTGTTTTTTTCAAATTCAATTTCAAGTTTTTCGTACGTGTTCAGCTAAGGAAGAAGAAAAACATACATACATATATAGCGAATTTCTGTGGTCATTTTCTTTGTTGCTCTGAACAAGTGGTGAAAGAAAAAACAACGATATTCGTTGCCATTTGCAATCCCAATGGCTTGGTCTGTCTGATCCAGGAGCACATTACGTTAACAAGTGTTACGCCTGTGCTAATTAGGTTTTAATAGGAGAAGTAAGTTATTTTATTAAAATTTGAAATACATCATACTAAAAATCCTTAATTTTATGTAAACAGAACTTTTGAGTACAGATGCGTACTAAGTGCTTACCTACCAGTTCCTCTCAGTGATATATTGCCTGTTAAATTCTTCAAAAATAAAATAAATAATGACAATGTTGAAGATGACATGGAATCGGAAACATTCCGTCATGTGCGCCAGAAATGCCATTATTAATTACTCAATAACATTTGGACAGAATTCTACGAAAACTTAATTTATTGCATAACAATGCAATGACTGTAGCTTCGGAATTAAATAGCGTCCATGTATTGGCACCAGGTGTTAAGTAACCTCGTACAGACACCGTCAAAATCCATACAGTCCGTAGTTCATGCTCTCGGAAAATGAATCGTATTGCTATTGCCAAGACATTCCAGGTTCGTTGAAGGAAATGGTGCCTATTTCAAGATAGCAGCTTATAACCGGTGCCTATTTCAAGATAGCATCTTATAACCGGTGCCTCACGTATGCTGTTGGTATGGCTACACAAAATACTGTTGTGTTTTTTGTAAATGGGACAGCCTTGCAAAATGCAACCACTACAAAAAAAGTGATTGGCCACAACGCGATAAACTGGTGGTTGGTCAACTTAATGTCGTGAATCCACCTTTAATTTCACTCAAGGAAATTATGTTGCCGGATCTTTATATTAAATTGCGCATTGTGAAGAATTTTATAAAACGTTTAGTACGCGCAGATAAAAATGCCATGGGATACCTGAAAATACAGCATTCTTTTTACAAATATTTAGCTTAACTTTAAATCATTTAAATTTTGCATTCTTATTTTGATTTCTATGAAAAACAGTCGGTTTTCTGGCAAAAGATCCAACTCAATGTTTGCTGATTTTTGTTGGTTAATCTCCAAAGAGGCATAAAATTATGAAAATTAAAAAAAATATATTCCTACAACTTGTTAGTAAGGTTTGTTTTTAAATATCCTTGAATAAACTTAATAAACCTCAAAAAATGTTTATTGTTCATAAATAAAAATAAATGAATCGGCGGGATTAAGAACAGTACGGCCAAAAGTAAAATTTTTGACAAAATATTTCACAAAATCAGTTTTATAGTTCTAAATGCATTTTTGTGGGAATATTTTAACTATTTTATTAAAAATAATTTTCATATTCTGTAAAATGATTTGTATCTTCTCACAAAAATGTATTTTGAACTTTAAAATTGATTTTAAAAAATGACTTGTCAAAATTAAATTTTTGGACTTATACCTACTGTTCTTATTCTCACCGATTCAAATATTGTTGTTTTATACGATTTGTTCTTAAATTTTTTATAAATAAATCAAAAATACCTAAATAAAGACATTTTAAGAGGAATTGTAATATCTTATTTTCAAATTAAGCATAATAATGAATAAAAAAACCAACACAAAGATTGAAATATCTTAAGAAAACGAGCTAACTTTGAAAAACTACACCACTGAATTCTACGCCCAAAAATTAAGTTTACGTATAGAGACGTTTTTTGTGTTACTGCCGTGTAATTGGTAATAATAATTTATTTTTTTTTAAATAATTTTATTCATACGACCTTAAGTTTAGGGGTCCTAAACAAAACATCACACGAGGTCAGGTTGGGGTAAAAGCATCGATCAAAATTGCATATTTGGTTTAATAAAGTTTAGTTATTATGGGTAAAAATCGACGATAAATGTTATGAGTAATCCCGAAGGGATTTATATCGTTAAAATTTGTAGAATTATTTTTTAAATTTATTTTGCTTTTATAAAAGCAAAATAAATTTAAAAAATAATTATATATATATATATATACTACGCTGTCCATTTGGTGATTCATCGTTTACCGAACGGCTCAATAAATTTAATAATAAGCCTGGAAAGTGATGAAACATAAATGCGGCCCGTATCGCAGCGTGCCGATAAACCCAGAAACTCTTAATTGTCCATCACGATCGGCACAGAGTTTATGTTACGGTTTCAGTCCGTTTTATGGAACAGATGACGTCAACCGAATCCTAATTAGGCAATTTATTGCCGATCAAATTGAATCACGCCTCGACCTTTGACATAAATTAACCCCTGATTAGGTCTGTAATGCAGGTGTAATGGAAACAGCGACAGTTTTGCAATGGTGTGCAGGATTTTTTTCGATACTGATTTTTAATTGACGAACGCGTGAGCTTAATGGATTTTTTGTTTAACATTTTTGTCCCGGATATGCGATATTTTGCAATGTTTCAGTTAATTATTTAAATTCAAACACCATTTCCCCGAACCAACAATTTGAATTTTATATAAATCCATTAAAAAAATAAAAATGCAATCAAAATATTTTAACAGTTTGTTAAATTTTATGAACATGGAAAGTTTGGTAATAAAAATGTTTGATTTATTTGTTTTAATAATAGTAATACTAGTACCTATACAAATTTAAAAATTTAAATAGTCCTATTTAAATATTATTATTATATATAATTTAAATCCCGTAATCTATTTAAAACAAACTCAAACAAAGGTCAAGTGTTTTGTATGCTAAAAAGCAATAAAGTTAATTCAAGCAAATTTATTTTAAAAATGTAAATGATCCTTTTTGTTTTCAGGAGAGTTCATATAACAAAAGCAACGTTGGATCAATTAGGAGATAGGTTTAAAGTGGAACCAGGGGACGGCATCAGTAGGGAAGGTTATTTGGCAGATCATAAAATTGAAACCTTTCTTATTATTCCACCAAAGGTAAGATACTACCAAAAGATTTTCTCTTGAATTAAAATATATTGATAGTAAAAGTCAATATAAAAACCATGCAACAAGGTAAATAGTACATTATTTAAAGAAGCTAAAGTGTCACTTTTTGTGATGTATTTGTAGGGTTTGATGGACGAGCAAAGTAAAATATTTAATTTTCCCTAAAAAATCAATTTTTAAATAATCTGGTTCAAAGATAAAATTAAGTAGGTGTGAATGTAAGAAAGATAAATATAACTTTTAAAACGTTTTAGTTTGGAGGTGACATTTTGTTTGATAATGAATATTTTGTTAATTTGTAAGTATTTTAGGGTAAATTGTTTTTTTATTAAAATCTACTTCTTGCAGCATTATTAATATGTCAAAGTCTGACAGAGGAAAATTTCATGATGAGTACTCCCCCTGAAGTATTTCATTATTTATAGATCGGTTTGTTGTTTGGCATATCTGGGGCCTGTAGATGACAAAATGATAAATATAAAGTTGGACGATATAGAAAATTTAGGAACTATATTTTATGTTAAAGTTTTTAACACAAAAACCAAAAAGAAGCGATCATTTACCATTGTCGGAAAGAGGTTCACAAACTTTTTAGAAAATATGCCCCCAAAAGATTATGTTAAACAAAGATTGTTTTAAAAATATAAATATGCAAAATGTCAACGTTCTGTTATGGGAATCCATATAATAAGTCGTGTGCCTAAAGATGTGGCTTAATTTTTAAAATTACCAATAAGAAGAACATATGTAAATGGAGGGGCTTTATTCTCATTCAGGTTGTAGCAAAAATTAAGAAAAAACAGGTCTAGAGCTGCCTACTATTCAGCAAATGTTTACATAAAATCGAGGGCATGAAAAATACTTCACTAAAGCGCGAGAGTAAATTCCACTTTAACTTCGAGTATCTTTAATTCTAAAGATGCAACAATAAATAATTGTTTATTTATTTTCCACATTATTTAATTAATTTAAAAGCACTTTTGGTATTATCTTCGAGCGGCAGTAAAAGTACGTTTACTGCCGCTTATCAGCGGCAAAAAAAGTAATCTACTTCAATGGCAATGAAGTAAAACTTTAACATTCTGCGAGTTGTTACAAAAGTGTAATTTTACTGATGGTTGAAAAAAAGTTACTAGGCAATTTATTGCCGATTAAATTGAATCATGCAGGTGTATTGGAAACTACGACAGTTTTACATTGGTGTGCAGGATTTTCGAGCCTGATTTTTAATTGACGAACGCGTGAGCCTAATGGATTATTTTGTTTTGCATATTCGTCCCGGATTTTCGAAAAAATTTTATATAAAAATGTATTGATAGTAAAAGCCAATGTACTAATTTTTTAAATTAAAGCAACTTATTTATTTAATAATATTTTGATGGGGCATCTCGTTTTTCGGGGTTTTCTTCACATTTCGCGATATTTTTTTTAGAAAGCTGAGATTTTTCTACATAAAAAACCACATGACGAATCTTTTATATTATTTTAAAGGAATCGATTTTTAACGTTAAAAGACCAAAATTACATGACTCAAAATATACAGATTGGTACAACTTTTCTGGATATTTGGTGAAATGACCCATATATGCGTGATAACAAAATTGATATTATTTAACAAGTTTCAAGTCTGTCAATTGCAATAGGTTATTAAAAGTATTGGTTCTAAAGTCGTTAACATTTTTTGTAAGATTAGATATGTTAAAATTACCAACGATAACAATATTTCGTATAACTCCAATACAATTTTCAAGGATATTAAAAAATTCTTCAAAAATAGTGCTACTCGTTTGAGGTTGTATATATAGAAAACAAATAAGTACATATTATATGAGGGAAGAACAATTTTGCAGCACAAAATATAGATAACAGGTGACAAATTATTAAATACATTAAACTTTAATGGAACAACATTGATATCAGATTTAAAAGCTGCGAGAATTCCCCCGAGTAGTGTCAGTATAAAGGTAATTACTTGGGTTGTTATTGGGTACCTATTCTAAATAAAATTTTATGCAACCATCATTTAATGATGGCTATTAAGACATGAGCAAAATAATTATAAAATGAGCTGAAGGCTGTCTTAATAGCCCATTAAATGGGAGTATTTACACAAGTTGTTCTACGACTATCATAATAAAGTAAAAAATTAACTTAAAAAAAATAATTTATTTGTCAAAATTGATTAATATTAAATCTGTCAGATGAGCAAGGCAATAGTTGATATTGACAGAATATTGCCATGTATCGCAGTTCTATTGGTTAATATAGCCATCTTTTTATATTGGTTAAAAATCTGGATCGTAATGAAACATTTGTATTATAATGGATTTTATTATAGTTCAGTTAGGAAATGTCTGATAAACGAATTAAAGTATGGAAGTAGAATACAATATCTTAAATAATGCATGTTTTGTATAATCTTTGCTACTGTTTTGATTTGATTTATTTGTAAAATTGTTGACCTTATTTTATTTTGTTAATTAATTATATTTACGCATCTGTTTATATAAACTTGATTTTTAAATGACCCCAAAGAAAATTATCCAATGAGGTCAAATCTGGGAGGCCATGGATTCTACCATCGGTCTTCCACTATGATAATGGCAAATTATTTACTAGGGGAATAATTTGGTTTCCTAAAATATGCAAATATATATCTTTTAAATATAAAATATTGGTTCAATTACTCAGTCTATGCCACACCATACAATAATAGTTACTGTTCCTGTTTTTAACGATTTTTTTTTTAAATTTTATTTGGACAAATAGTAAAAAAAATTAAATCGAAACGTTGTTGAATTATTTTCGAACAAAAGATCCTTTTACCTCAAATTCATTTTACCAAAATACCAAACAAAACAAGTTAAAACAATTAAAAACTAACAAATAACAAATGTTTTCACTCTTGTTAATTCCTGATACTAATTATATTAAGATCTCCAATTTTTGGTGTTAGTATTACTTCAACTTGTAGGCATTTTTTATTAGTAATAACATAATCTATTATTGTTGCACTTGTGAAAGTTATTCTTGTATAATTTTTTTACTAACATTTTCAAAAATTAAATCCTTTATTTTTTTAGGATAAAAACCATTTTTTAACAGTCCAGGTTAAAATCTCCAGTTATAATAATTCTTGTATTACATCGTAATCCTAATTATTAAAGTAGTTTAGTTAACCATAAAAAAAATTTAATTTACCGTTAGTTTCACTTTGTATTTAACTATTTTAATGTATAAACTTACACCACCTGTGCTTGATTTTCTTGCTCTATTTATTTCATTATTATATCAATTTATTTTCAATTTATTATTGTTAAAAAAATCAACAATGTGTGTTTTACTATGGACAAGAAGACGGATGAATATTTCTTACTTCATATGAAAATTATCTGATTTAATTTTAAGCTTAATCAGTATTTAGGGAGAATATTTCTCGAGTGGAAATTGTTACTCAGAATACAAAAAATCGTAAATTTGTTGAAAAAAATATAACTTACTATATTGCAATTATTAAAGTAATAATTATTTTTACAGTGTTTCTTCCACTTGAATATAGCCTAAACGATTTGTGCAAAAACTTAGAAAACCTGGTTTTGACGTTTTTGTTTTACGATACAAACAATCCAACGTAATTATTCCACTTGTTAATTTTTTAATTTCCACTTATTCAATTCCACACATTTATATAAATTGAAATTGAAATAAATTTATAAAAAAATATATAATTCATTTATCTTATTAAATGTAAAAAATTTATTATTTTGTGAAAAATTGCTAGAAACTAAATTTTACATTGCTTTAAAAAATTGACTATTATAAAATCCAAATCTTTTCTAATAAAACTTTTTATTTTTCAAGTCTTTTTGATTTTCAGTTAAAAGTTAAAAAAATAAAATAACTAATTTATGAGTTTTACACCTTAATTTTTTTTACTCTGATTTGGGATTGACTTGTCATCAAATAATTTTTTTAGTCGTATATTTATGTGTATGGTTCTGTAACAATATGTCAAAATCTAGGGCTAAACCGGCAAAACCACTATCTATTTTTCAGATATCAGCAAAAAAAAAAGTGGTTCTGTTTAAAGGAGAAAATTCTTGTGCTATTGAACAAAATAAAATGGAATCTGATCTGGTTTTGGATAATCACTTGATTGAGACTTATTTTCGCCTAATAATGAATTTATCTGGTTTTATTCTTAATGTATTTTTTAACCGGCCTTTCTTTTACTTTTTTCTCTAAATACACGTAAACCTAAATAATTCTTACCTTTTACCATTTCTATCAAAACGTGCTGAAGCGTTATTGCAGCGTAAATCATAAGGGTAAACCTAAAGGTTCAGACGTTTTATTTGGGCTTGAATAAATATTCGAAACGCGGTCGCACAGTCTCGTGGGTCATTTATCATGTTAAGGACACATATTTACCATAAGAAGGCAAATGTAACGCTGCAGAAGCAACGGAAATATAACGTGTCGATAAGATTAATGTTTATGACTCCCGTAACAGTTATAAAGTCTATCACATATTACACATAATGTATTTATGTAGGCAATTTACAATTTAATTTATTTTACCCATGTGGAAAATAAATAACACCTTACAAAAATATAGTGTTAGTTAGTCCTATTAATAATAAAACTATAGTTATTTAAAAAAGTTAAAATAAAAACAGTTTACATAATTGTGTGCGATTTAAGACCGCAACACCCGATTATTTTGGAACGCTCGATGGGCTCTATTTAACCATGTGGGAAAGTTTTAAATACATAGTTTTAAATACATACATACACATATACCTATATATATATATATATATATAATATATATATATATTATATATATATAATATATATTATATATATATATATATATATATTAAGGTGGAGTGATTTTTTTTTATTTATTAATTGATTGATGTATTATTAATTGTTGACTAAAGGCGAAAAATGAATAAATATCACAAAAATATTCCAATTTTTTA